GCAGATTCAGCATGGAGCAGTGAGTGGAGGGAAAGGGTAAACATGACTAAGCTGAATGGAGCAGTGGTCCGAGAACCCTAACTACGCTCGCAAGAGAGGACGGAAGGAAAAAATTGGAACAAACAAGAAAAGAAAAGAAAAGAAAAGAAAAGAAAAGAAAAGAAAAGAAAAGAAAAGAAGCTCAATCGATGCGACGCAACAAGCAGCGAAGTGGGAATGCTTAGAGCAGCTTAGTGGCATATATCCAACACATAGGAGGAAAGAAAAACAAACATCGATGTCAATTCAACTTGAAATGATATCTCTCTAGTCGAAGTAAGCCCTATACTGTGCGAGACGATTCGAGAAGCTGGAAAGAAAATAGCAAGTCGAGATGACTATATCAAGCCGGAATTGTCCAAGAGTGCCTTTCACTGTCGCCATGGGTAATGACAATTTGTTGGAACTTTCTACATGGGAATCTCTTGAGATGGTGCAGCCTCTACAAAGCCGTTGAACTCGGCCAAGATGAGTGTGGCATTCACACGATACTATCTATAGCTCCTTACTACGCCCTATCCATGACGTTTTTCGACTTTATAATGGCAGGTAAGGTATAAAGAGGAGCCCCTCATTCAGATAATAGGGAAATCTCAGAAACCATTTTTATCGTGAACTGTGCCTTTAAGCTCCCTGAGCCATATATGCGCACGCCCGTCCGATGAAGAAAATCATAGGAACAAATTTGGAAACACCTATGAATAAGCTTATACGAGGATTGAACATTTGAAGCTGTTCAAAACTATTTTTTTACTTTTTTAACCTCGAGCAGAAGCAGGAAGTATGGGTATTGGGTAGGAGTCTTTGCCCAGATGGGTGGAGGGGGCGTAGTGATTAAAGGATCAAGCGGCTTACTTCCTTCTTCGTGATAGATGGATATATTGACCAGCCGATTTTCCGGTAAATGTAACCATTCAGGGATCTGTGACCATACGTGTTCCTTCACCTCAGGACGTTCATTACGATAATCCTAAAAGGTCCTGTTAATCATCGGAACATCTTTAGTCTAATGTGCGCTTGAAAGATTCGATCGAAGCGTATATAAAGGCATTTACTCTGCAGAATATTTACGAGATATTTTGTTTAAAAAAATTACATGAGTAATTATTCATGATATTTTTATATCAAACGGTAACTCCAAATGGAAGTTATTACA